ACATAAATGCGCCAATGAATGAGTAGGGGACGTATTAAGTGTTTGTTTGACAATATTTTCTAATCTTATCAATTTATTGGAAGATATTGACCTGCGAAATTGTCAAGCACTGTAGAAAGGCTCGCTTACGGAGAGCGAGTAATTTCATTTACGCAAGAAAAAGCTTCTTCAAATCAAGGTTATATATTGTTACATCCGCCGCGATCCTTCAACAAATGGAGCAAACAGCCTGCCCGGCTAGCTCAATCGGTAGAGCGTGTGACTCTTATCCATTGAAAGATGTTCTAGGTCAATCACAAGGTTGCGGGTTCGACCCCCGCGTTGGGCTCAATCCCCTACAAATCGCTTCTTTTTGGCATTCTTTGCGCATGTTAGTCAATTAGTTGGATAGATACATATATCATTCTTTACTCTACTAATTGATTGACTATGATCTTTTTCTCCTTGCTATTTGTTCTTTGCTCGAGCTGCGCTAGTAGAAAGAGAGAAAGTACATACTGTGTACATATTTTAGGATTCTTTCACTAAATGTAGCCATATGCAAGGGGAATGACGATACTTCCAAGAGGTGACATCAAATCTTCTATAGTATAATCAAATGAGCGGTCCCTGATGTCTTGATGTTCTATTGGATATGGTCAACAGGTCAACATGCTGTGCTTCTATCTATGTCCATTTTTGCCATAGAATTATGGTTTATTAATCGATATCTGGAGACACTGCTTGATGTGCCAATATCCCCCAATGCTGTCTGACCCCAATATTTAAACACTCGGGTTACATAAAATTATTAGGTACTGATTCCACCAAGACAGTTTTATACTTCTTTCCTTCCTTCTTTCTCCCTTACCAGGCAGTCGGTCAGCGAATCAATCAACAGCCTTAAAGACAAAGTTTCATTCATTGGCCAATCTTCGCAAGCCAATACATGCAACAAGCAACGGTGACATTTCAATCTCTTCGTGAATCGTGCACAATACCACACAATACCACACAAGACCCTTCCTCCTTCCTCCTTCCTCCTTCCTCCTTCCTCCTTCCTCCTTCCGAGCCTCCAATCTTTCTTTCCCTTTTTTCAATTCCAGCCATCAGTCATCATGATCAGTGATATGCCACAGTGGAATTCACCCGCGTACGCTAATCCAATAAAGGGAAGGTTGTATCGCTTATCTACGGCTTCTATCGCGATAAGGGTCTTTGAAACCTTCGAGCCTTCCTCAAATACCAGCGATACCGGCAATCTGAACATTTCCCTTCTGCCCCTCTGCCCCTCTGCTCGAGTAAAACTCTCTAACTCTCTACGATAACTCTCTGACTCTTGTTAAGGTGGAACCATTAATCCATTCCTTGATGACTTGATGATTACTTGATAATTTCTATGATCTTCAGGTATACATGATACATATAATGCGGATGGTAGTCACATTGTTATCTTTTTCACTTCGTTTACGTCTCAACTTTCCCGTCTCCCGTCCTCCGTCTCCACATCCTTTTCTTGTAAGATATTTTCCTCCATAGGATTACGAAGGAGAGTTACGCCCTTCGATTTGACACCCGTTGAACAACTGTCTCAACCCTTGCAAACTATATACTCAACAACGGGAAGTCGCATCAAGTATAAACTCACCGTATTTCTCTGTCTTTCCCCAAAGATTCTTTCAGTCTCTACCTCTTCAACATATCTTTCCTTGCCTCTACTTTCTTTCCTCCATACCTTTACAACTCAGATCAAGTCAGATAAGAGAAGATGGCCCCTCCAACTGCAATTGATGTTGAGGGTGTAGTCGACACTGAAGCTATCGTCCTCCCTGATCCATTGACTGTGAATGGAGTTTCTGCAAGAAGGGCAAAGGCTGGGAAATTTGTTGCGGGTGTCGCAGCATTCACTACTAGTGATCATTTCAAAAGTCCGGTTGGTATATTCTACCCCAGAGATATTGGTCATTTCCTAATGAGTCACAGTCAACATGGAAACCAAAGGCCAAACGATTTGATCGTAAGTCACCCTTTCAATCTGCATGTGTACATGCACTTTGACTAATTACTCGCAGATCGTATCTCCCTCGAGAGCAGATCAAGAAAGCCATCAAACTTGAAGAGCGCTGCTAAATACTTGGGCCCTGGAATGATTTCTCTTGGTGGAGGTTTACCATGTCCCGACTATTTCCCAATCGAAGAACTATCCATCAAGGTTCCTACAGTACCTCACTTCTCGGAAGCACAAACAAAAGAATCGGGAACCATCTTAACTGCTGGGAAATATGATGTGTCTGAGGGCAAGGGAGCATACGATCTGTCTATCGCACTCAACTATGGACAAGGTTCAGGATCTGCCCAGATGCTTCGATGGGTAACAGAACATACCGAAATCGTTTGCAACCCACCTTATGCAGATTGGGGCTGTTCTCTTACTGTCGGAAGTACCTCAGCTTTGGAGCAGACATTTCGCATCTTCTGTGAAAGAGGTGACTTTGTGTTATCTGAAGAATATACTTTTGCTTCTGCTGTCGAGACTGCCGCTCCTCTTGGTGTAAAATTCTTGGGTGTCAAAATGGATGCTGAAGGTCTTTTGCCAGAACCCTTGGATGAAATTTTGAGCAACTGGGATGAACAGGCAAGAGGGGCTAGAAAGCCATTTGTTCTTTACACTGTTCCTTCCGGGCAAAACCCTACCGGTGCAACTCAAGGTACCGAGAGGCGGCATGCTATCTACAAGGTTTCTCAAAAGCACGATTTATACATCATAGAAGATGAACCCTACTATTTCCTCCAAATGCAACCATACACAGGACCAGATGCTCCTGACATCCCACCACCCGCTAATAATGATGAATTTTTGAAAGCTCTCATTCCAACCTACCTAAGCATTGATACTGATGGAAGAGTGATGCGAATGGATTCTTTCTCCAAAGTAATTGCACCTGGTACTAGAGTAGGATGGATCACTGCTTCTGAGCAAATCGTCGAGAGATTTATTAGATCCAATGAGAACTCTAACCAAAACCCAAGTGGAATCTCCCAAATGGTTCTCTACAAGATCCTTGATGAAAGCTGGGGGCATGGTGGTTATCTTCAATGGCTGATCAACCTTCGATTGGAATACACTAAGCGCCGAAATGTTATTCTTGCCGCATGTGAGAAATACTTGCCCAAGGATATTGTAAGCTGGAACCCACCATCTGCCGGCATGTTCGTAAGTATTTCATGAACCCAAATTTAATAGAAATTGACTAACAAATTTCAGCTCTGGCTCTCGGTAGATTGGCATAAACACCCAGCTGCCAAAACCAAGTCAATTGGAGATATAGAGCAAGAAATTTTCCTCTCCGGCATTGACCAAGGAGTTCTCATTTGTCCAGGTAGTTGGTTCACAGCCGAGAAAGACGGCTTTGTACCAGTAGACATGTTTTTCCGCGCGACATTCGCTGCTGCATCGGAGGAAAAGATGACAGAGGCTATTGAGAGATTCGGAGTAGCTGTTAGAAACAGTTTCGGCATTGAATAAGGGGGTGCATTTTGATTGCATAGTTGCGAGGCGTTGATATCAAATCGGGTTAGACAATCTGTTGCGAGATAACGGGATGATTTTCAAACCAGGTTTTAAAGCCATTAAATTTTACAGGAAGAACTAGTATGTTGTACAGTATCTTAAGGTTCTCGAATCAAGATGATCCTGAATATGAAGTTCAGCCTATATGTCAAAATTATGACCTTTTCGCAGAGTGAATCTGTAATTTCTACCTCATGCTTCATTTTCCTATATAGTAATCTATGTCTCAACCAATCCTCGCTCTTTTTTGAAGAGATAGAAGGGGGCCGGGGGGTGTATGCGAATTCTTGAACCAAAGCGGAAGAGCGGAAAGCCGCGCAAACGTGTTCTGTCTCAATATATCAACCGCCCGAAGTCTTGAAATTGTACGCGAATAGCAATTTACATTTAGCACGAATCAAGGCTCGACATTAGGCACGACAACAAAAACTTTCCAGTGGCAATTGAGAGAACCGATAATTATAAAAATTGAAATCCTGCTGTCGAGTATGGCGTTAACTTGGAGCGTTATTTCAACTTACCTGTCTTTTTCGGGGCCTTTTCTCATACATGATTCTGCTTCTTTAATGTTAGGACTGGGTTTGGTTTGGTGGCGATGCCATGAAGGCGTTGGGAACCTTGATCTGAGACTTTTGGTTATGCAGAAGGGAGTGTGGATTGGAGAGCTCTTTGTATCGTGTGATGTGGGAGGAATTAAAGTGTTTGTATTGAATCAAACGGGTCTGCTTTCTCACTTTGTATTTTTGATCAGAGTTGTGGTTCCAGAAGATAAAAGTTGATTGTTTGTTTTTATCTGGGCTGATTTCACTTCCGCTCTAGCTCATGGATTTGAAGTAAGTCGGGAGGGAAAGTTCATTGCAAGATGGCTCACTCGACTATGATTGGAATTTTTAATATTTTCAAGGTTGAATCAAGCAGTGTTGTAAATATTATTAGCAGTACGTGCGGTTCTTTAATGGCAACGAAACTGTGCAATGACGACAAGATTTCCATCCTCGATGTCTACTCATCCGGTATGATTTCCGGTGCTCTGGCTTAAGATTTTCGACTAGAACTTGGATGATTACGAGACTATATCACTGAGACGAAACACCTCGAAAGAGTCTCGTAAATGCTATATCCTCTGTATGTAGTCAATATCTGTGCTTGAAAAGGTCCTTATATACCTCTCGAGGCTCGAGGGTGGAACGAAAATTGGTAGGAGAGTATGAGGCGGGTTTCCACGATATGTTGTTATCGTCCATGAAGCGAAGAACGACGGTGTATTAGAGGCACGAAATTGAAGTCAGACGTAAGAAAGTGGATATATCAGATAACTTGTTGGGAGACTGTTGGCTAGATGTCAGATTGCAACAGTTGCACATTACCGAGGGATCTGTACATACATTTATATCGCACTTCGCTCAAATCAATCTCTTGAAAGTGTTACTCTTTCTCCCTTCATATTATCATGGGTCAGTCATCGCAGTTTACTTGGCGCACCCCCGCGTCCCTGATCTTAGGCTTCCTTTCCATCACCTCCGCGATAAATCCTTCATACATCCCCGAAGTAATTTTCTCAGAATCTCAAGTAACCTACCGGGGAATCATCTCAAGCAAAGTCGAACACTTTCACAATGTTAAATACGCTGCGGATACATCCGGACCTAACCGTTTCGCGCCTCCAAAACCATTTACACCCCCTCCTGGTACCATCATAGATGCTTCCTTACCCGGTCCAGCATGTCCTCAAATCAAAGATCCTATGCCGCCTTTCTTCTCTGCAGTTGAAGAGATCAGCGAAGATTGTTTACACCTCCGCATTGCTCGACCAAGTGGATTAGATATAGACTCAAAAAGCAATCTCCCAGTTGTTGTATACAACGCCGAGGGAGGAGCCATCAAAGGTTCCAACCACGATGACCACATCTCCCCCGACAAACTAATCTCACTGTCCGTCAACGACGGAAATCCTATAATCTTTGTAGCTCTGAATTCTCGCCTCAGTATCTTCGGATTCCCCCAACTACCTATATTAAAAGATGAGAAGTCTCTCAATCTTGGTATGCGATACCAACGTGCGGCGTTTGAATGGGTAAGAGATCATATCGAAGAGTTCGGCGGCGATCCAAATCGTATCACAGCGTATGGTTTGAGTGCTGGTGGTACTATGACCTCGCTTCAGATAATGGCATTTGGTGGCCAGAAAGGTGTACCTTTTCAGCAAGCATGGGTCATGTCTGAACCACCTGGCACCTCTCTAAATCTGACTAGTGATGTAACTGAACATCATACTAGAGCTGTGGCAGATAAAGTCAGGTGCGGAGGACTTGTGGATTCGAAATTTTTTTCATGCTTGCGGGATATCCCTATGCAAGATCTGATTGATTCTGCGATGGAGTATTCCACGTCAAATCATCCGCCTTCCGGTCTCTTTACCTTTATTCCTTCGGTTGATGATGGGTTTCTACCTGATCGACACTCAACTTTGATGCGCGAGGGTAGATTTGTAAAAGGTAGGCTATCTATAATTTGCGTCAACAATCACAAGGAATCGTGTATTCTAACTCAGTCTAGGCATTGACATGATATTTAGATGGACTCAAGACGATGGTGCCATGAACGTTGGTCCTGGACATCTCATACAATCCGAGGAAGATATGATAACCTCTATTAAATCATTCGTGCATGCCATGAATGCAGAATAATACGCTATTTGATTTATACTCAGCCTCAGATTTTGAAGAAGAACTGAAAAATTACGTATCACAAAAAGATTCTGAGGATCCTGATATCTCAGTTCACTACTTTCGGGTTTCCCGCATCTTGAGAGATATACTATTTACCTGTTCCTCGATTGATTTTGGGTACCACATGGTTAAATGGACACAACGAACCATGGACCCTACATTGACGGGAGTAAGACTTTATGACTTGAATCAGAGTGCTTTGACTCCACTATGGAAAGGCGCTGGAATGTCTTATGTCAAAGTATTTCACGGATCCGACAACAACTATTTATTCAACGGCGTATTCCCCGAAGGTCAACTCACTGAAGAGGACAACGAGATATCAGAGATGATGGCTAGAAGCCTTCTCAACTTTGCTTATACTGGGAACCCGATTAATACATCTTCGTCACAAAGACAATTTGATGAATGGCGGGAACCGTATGGCAAAGTTGATATGGGAGATACACAAATCGAGAGCTTTAAGATCCAGGTCATTGGAGGACCTCATGGTACAGGACCTGTCATTTTGACTGATGAAGATAACTCTAATAGTATCAAGCGGAATCCGGAAAATGAAAATATTGGGGCATGGCAACAAGTATTGTCTGGCGCAGATAAGTTTAGATCGATGGGCTCGGCGAAGGAAGCAGAAAGGAAGAGGTTGATTGAGCAAGAAAAACTGTTTCAAAGATGTAGATATATCAATAGTTTGGCAGATACACTTGATGTATAAGTATTATACTATTAAGATGTCCATAGCTTGACTATAAGCGGGGCGGAAGATATTATGAATATTAATGAATGATGACATTGATGGAAACTGTGAGATTATATACAATACTCGATCGCTGTTGACAACATATTGCAGATAGACGACAGGAAATATTCAACAGGACACTGCTCTAGTAAACTTGGCCATGAGTATTCACCGGAAAAGGTTGCAGATATACAGACATTCCAATTTCGATTTCCCCTGTTCGCCCAGCGTTGCAAAGAAAAGAACAAGAAAAATCTCGAACAATAGAGAACTTCGAATATTCCATCCATGGGATCCAGAATAATGGATGGGATATGCGGATTTGACACCCGGGAAGAAGTTGTCTAGATGGTATAAATCTCTCTTGCACATCTCCCTCGCCAGGTCTAGTACTACCACCAGCCACAAAAATCAATCAACCAATTAAATGTGACATGAGAATCAAAAGAATCAGCATCACTTACAACTCCCATTCACACTCCACACAACCCACGATTTCCACCTCCATCCACAGTATGAAAGCAAATCCACAAACTCTCTTTCACCCCAAGCACATCTTAATCTCTTTTCTCACTCCCATCCAGGTTCAGAATCCATAGTATAGATCTAAAGATCAATACACTTCAGCCCAACACATACCACCCATCTTGTCTCGAATTTCCATAACGAAACAATGTGTGCAAAATCCATGAAAAGTCTAACACATAAAACGTGCAAATACAAACAATAACAGCATCATCACTCGTTAGCGTTAGCATTAAACAGCCGACAACACAATAATTATCGCCGGATGCCAGATTGTTGTCATCAACCAGTACCTAGGTACTCACAGTTCAGTCCATATACGATATCATCCCATCTCACATCACACCATCACACCATCATTCCAACAACCACATCACATCAATTTATCTCAACCTTTCGCTACGCCTTGTTGCTGCGCTGTACTGTTGTATCGCATAGTATACCAAAACCTAAAGACAGTCATCCCAACCGGATATTTATACTCTTACTTTACATCGCTTCAAATCCAGCGATTTTAACATCTCCTTCCCCCTCATCTTGTTCTACGATAATCGTTCCGCACAAACTCCAGTATTGTGATCAAGCCTTGAATGATAGAAAACTAGAAGCAACAGACGTACACTGCGCTGTAGACTCGTAGATTCGGACATGATGAATATATCAGCACTACTATTAGGATGACAAACAAATTGAGACTATTGAATGCTTGTATGTGATGGAATGATTATGGCGAGACACTTGGTTGACTATTCATTCGTTATGCGCATCTTGTTCCTTTTGATACTCACGTTACATGATATTCAGATTATTGTAAAAAAAGATAAGAGAAACCTGTTTTCTTATTTTTACATCATAAGTTGAGCTGACACAAGCACTTTCATCAATCGTCAAAATTCAGTTCCTTTGGCCAGTTCCCTGAGCGGCCAAGTAAAGCAATTAACGCCGAATCATCATCACCATAACATCTACTTCACCATCCTAGACCTTTTCTTTGACAGTTTCGCTTTTCCCTTCCAAAAACCCAACGTGTACACCCTGTCCAGGCTGTAAAACAATATCCGATTTCAATCGTGGGTTTCCTCCATCAATTTCATGCATAAATCCCTCGAGCCCATCAAAGTTTTGCAAGAGTCTAACAATCGTATAACCCATTTCGGTGAGTGCAAATTGTTGACCAATACAGATTCGAGGACCACCATTGAAAGGGATGTATTGCCAAGGTTTAGGCTGCCATGTCAACCAGCGGTCGGGATTGAAGGACATGACGTCTGGAGTGAGATCTTCGCGGCGTTGCATAATGAGAGTGGAGTAACAGATTGGAGTATCTTTGAGAATTCCCATAGGAGAGAGACCATCTGGTCCGCCACCGACGGGCAGTGTGGTATCTTTGAGAGCGAGACGGATATTGAAAGGAACGACGGGGTAAAGACGAAGGGTTTCGTGCATAACATTCTGCAGCTGTAAGTAAGGGATTTATGCTGTAATGGATAATGAAGGACGTACCTGTAAATATTTCATATCTTTCAAATGTTGATAAGTTGGGGGTGTCTCTAGACCAACTTTCGAGATGATTTCCTCGCGCAATTTCCTGAAAACTTCAGGATGACGAGCTAATTCGTAGAATGTCCATGACAGAGTGGAAGCTGTTGTATCGCGACCGGCAAGTAAGACTGCTACGAGTTGATCTCGAAGTACATTTCTATCACGAGTATAGGAAGCCAATGCATGGAGAAATGTATACCCTTCCTCTGTCTTTGTCTTGGTTGCTAGTTCCTCAGGAGAAAGTCGAAGCGTATCTTCAATGAAGGGGGCAACAAACTCGTTTATAACCTTGAGACCTTTGTAGAATGATTTCCTTGGAACCAATCCATTTAAAGGTCTGATTACAATATTAGCGATCGTTCTGAAAAATGAAGACAGGAATGCATACCCAGCTATCGAGATAACACTCTGTACCCGCTGAACTTCTGCGAAAGCATCTGCAAATTCTCCTGGTTTCTCTAAACTTTCCACACTGCGTCCTAGCAAAAAGTCCGTTGCAGCATCTAGAGTATATCTGAAAAACAAATCACTAACATCAATCTCCCGACCCTGAGTGCCATCCCACTTTCTACCTTCTTCTTTGATCTTCCCGATTAAAATCTGAATATGTCTCTCGAAAGTATCCAAATCACTAACTCGATCCTTGATAAATTGTGGACGAATCAATTGACGAGAATCATGCCATTGGTCAAGATCTGTCGTGAAGATACTGTCACCAAGGAAATCTTTCCAATCATTGTGAAATGGTTCTCCTTTGCCATAGTCTGTGAATTGAGTCGCGAGTATAGCTTTAATATTTTCTGGTTCCGCAGTAAACAGCGTACGCTGTCCTCCTGGATTTGCCTCTACTGTATAACGTATGTCTTTGTAACCGGAGAAAAATGCCATCCACGCTTCGAGGTTCTTATCATGCATACCATAGTTGACCGAGCGCGCAACGAGGTCGAGATCTGCAGATCATTAGCAAGTTTCTTCGCAGAAGCAATTGTAGTCTTAATCTGTACCGAAAGGAATCCATGTTTTCGCTCTTCTGGCATGACCACCCAGTGATCGAATCTTAAGCTCTCTCTGAACATATTGTGTGACTTTAAACAAGACGAAGATCACGACAAATGGTACGATGAGAGACTTTATTGATATGCTTTCCAACATGATGCTGGATTTGTTTTGGTATATATGTAAATGGACTCGCTCATGTACGAGAATGAGAAGTGATGAATGAACGAACAAACAAATGAATAAGTATCATTCATTCAGAACCAAGAGAAGAGAAAGGAGACTTATATAACCAAGTATGAAACCAGGCGTTGTTTTCAATTATGCTTATCATATTTGCACGGATTGTAGTCTTTGTTATACCTTAGGAATCGGATGAATTATTAGACCTTGTCGCAATCTTCAAGTTCCGTCCGTTTGTACCATTACGTGGGGTTTTTCTCGAGGAATGGCAAAAATGGAAAGGAGGACAAGGGGGGACGCCCCTTGTGATCTTTACCTTTGCTCAAATTGGAAATGACGGCTTGAGGATTTCCTTGATTATTTTTACGAACATTTATGGATATTCTGTACATCGGAGTGTTTCAGAGGAGCAGGAAGGGAAACATTCTTGGCTTGCGAGGAGGACCGAGGCTCCTCGTGTAAAGAAACAAAATCTGTTAACAAATCCGGGGTAGTAAGGTTTGATTCCGGTTGCCGTTTCCACATTTATATATTATGATGAGGAATATTCGTCTGCTCGTATACCAAGTAATGATCTGCGCATTATTAATAGAAAACCTGTCTAACACATGCCCGGTAAGTACTCAGTAGGTAAGTCGACGAGTCAGTTAGGGTCAGTAGGAGCTGATAGGAGCGTCAAATCCATGAAGGGACTTTGTGTACTGTAAACAACACTCGCTCATTACATACCAGATACCAGATAGATGCCCAAGGTGTTTTTATGTTCAGACAACCTGATTGGTTGACAATTTACAGTCGATCTCAGGAATCGACCTAGATACCTACCTACTTACCCTCTCGACAGGCAAATAAACAAATCATTGGTCAAATCTTCATCGTTGTGTAAATCCCTATCAAAATCTAATTTATGTACATGTGGAAAGTAAGTCTAAGTAGAGATATAAATGTAATATTATATCCGATGCCCCCCAAGGAACTCCTTTCCCAAATGCAATTCCGCCGATATCCATAGCTTACTAATAATTATCCCAATTTCCCAACCTACAATGCGCATGTTGTCGAGTTGAGTTGTGTGCAGTAGATCATTTGTACAGGTCCTGATCTGATTCCCAAAGTTCTCAAGTGTTCATTGAATTCTGGCAATCTGCTGCCTGCGTCGATTTGACTTCTGTTCTGTCCAGTGACTGGGTCCTTGGCTCCTGACCACAATACTTCTGCGGCGGCAGCTCCTCTTGGCCATACCATATCATCAATGTTGATTGGATCGGTTTGCTCAGACCAAATGTGAAATTCTCCGCCAACAACCAAATGAGTTGAGTTTTCGGGTACTCCGGCGAGAGGATCGTAGGAGTAAACTAAGCGCCAACTCTTGGTAGGCGAACAATAATCGTTGTAGGGGAAGTACTTCTCAGAGGATGCACCTGGCTCGAAATTGAGCCACTGTCCTTTGCCACAGTCGAGATACTAAAAGTTCGTTAGTACGTGAGTTGATTTATTCGGATGAATTATAAGATGCTTACCCAGAAGTTATAATTGCCAGCAATAGCTTTGTGTCCAGCCGCGACAATTTGAGCGACAGAGGCATCACTGAGCCATGATTGAACAAGAACATCAGATCCCAAAGTGAGGTTCCATGTTGTAATCATTTCTTCCCAGACCATTGGGGTAAGCCCAGCAGCTCTAACTTGTTTGTGGTTTCTGTCCACGAATGCTTGAATTAATGGTTGAAGAACGGCGGTATCATTTGATTGAACGGTGGGATCCAACAAATAGGTGTTAACATTAACTTCATCTCCACCAGTGTGGAAGTACGATGAGTAGGGAGAGACTCTGGGAAGAAGATCATCAAACAATTTCTCAAGGAATGCTGGTACGGCTGGATCATTAAGTCTCAATGATCCACAAGGAGGTTCAGCACAGTAGGTATCCCAAGGTTCGGCGAACAAGGCTGCCATGAGCTCAGGGTGAGAATATCCAATGGAACTTGTGTGGCCAGGCATATCAATCTCCAAGATAACCTCGATACCAAGCTCAACGCCATACTCTTGAATTTCCTTGAGGTCTGCGGGGGTGTAGGACAATCCGGTCGCATAAGCACCCAACTTTGACAATTCAGGAAGTGCTGGAATATCCAAAGGCCACGATTGAGCATCGGTGATGTGTAAGTGTATAACACTACATTTAGTGTAATGCATTGCTAACATTGTTCTCTTGATATCCTCAACAGGATACCAATTTCGGGATACATCCATGTTAAGTCCACGGTGTGCAAATTTTGGTGCATCGTAAATTGTCACTGGAGCTAATTTCGTGTAGACACCAGCTTTGGCAACAGAATGTGTATAGAAGAGTTGTGTGAACGTGGTCAGTGCATGAAGAATGCCAATAGATGATGGGGCGCTGATGGAGGCCTTCCCATCAGTAGTGATTGTGAGGTTGTATGACTCGTCAACCTGACCATCTGTAGGCTTGAATGTGGAGGAGTTATCTTGTCCGGTCTGAGTGATGAGAATTTCGCTGATGTAGGTCTTGTTTGAGGTGGCCGATGGCTCAACTAGGGGCAGGGTGTTTCGTGGATATAATTTCCATGGTGTCAAACCTTGATAGAAGATCTTGTTCATAGCTCGAGTTACGGCCTTAGAAACGATCGTCTTGCTGGTTGTTATATTTCCAGTGCCACTACTAGAATATCCTGTAGACTGTACAGCGAGCAATTTCTCAGTATTCATATCAACATAAAAAATGGGAGGGAATGATCGTACAGCGCCGCCATCATAAGTAACCTTAACGTTCTTATCCAACCACAAAACACCAGTACCATTTGTATACGAAACAGGCTGAGGCCAAATAGCCAACGCAGAGGAGACCAAAGCAGATATTAGAAAGGTAGAAGAACGCATTATGAGATGTGCCAATGTAGTATTGTATTTGTAAATTAGATGTAACGAAAGAAGTGGGAATGAAAGAAACAGATAGCGATATGTAGACTATATAACTTCATGAACAAGAATATGTCAATTGCTCTAGCCAATTACTTAATTGATTCACAACCGTGTGGCTCAGGATTCACGAATGTTTTGCAGTATTGGCTGTGGTAAATTCACCAGGATTCAGGAGTGCCGCAGGAATATGAACCCAGTGATTGGACTGCGCAAATCTCAGAATAGAGTTGAAAGCAATCAAATTAATTTTTCCCAGGGCTTGGATATGACGATAAATGAATATGCAGGTAGCCAAATCCGATGGTTCCAACTGGTTGTCCTGTTGTAGTAATAATTGTCATTTGGTGCGGAGAAGTCTATGCGAGACTACCAATCTAGCTGCCGTAACGTTACGACAAGCGCCTCCAAAAGCCGGTGAGGAAAAGTACGACGTGATGAAGTGCCTTTAACTGACGGTAGGTAGTAGTAGTAGAAGTAGAAGAATAGCAGTTTACAGTAATAGGATGCCCGACTGATTTGTTATCTGATCACGTCGCCCCCTCGGTCGGATTGATGCAGCTGCGAGGGAGAATAGATATGGATGGTTGGGTGTGAGTGGATATGCTTGGATATGCTTAGATATGGGTGGACATCAAAACGGATGTGTCTGGGTAGCAATGGATTTGAGGATGGATCCAGGTTGGGGGTTGAGAATTTTAAGGTTATGAATCTTATGATATTGAGATTGTGATGTACATCAGGGAAAGGGATAAAGTCAAATTTGCTTACTCAGAACTCAGAAGCTCGTGATTTATGCAGTACACAGTATGTCGTTGGTAGGCCAAGGGTTACGAAGAAAATGTTCACTATATCTGGCACTCAGTCATAAACGACCCAAGAATACTAAAAGTAGGTAGCTGGCTTTGATATCCCCTGGTTCCTGGTTCACTTAAATTGCCCTCAATTTCTTTGGTGCGGCGTTCAAAAGGCTCCGGTGGAAGCGATGGTTTAAAAATGGTATCCGGATATGTGAAAGGATGGGGTCGATCATGAGAAATACGAAATAACATGTCAGACGTCAGCACTTGGAGGCTGTGAGATTTGTTGGACATGATACAACATATATCAAATCCAATGCTGTTTCATATTCCAACAGCATAGTAAGACGATGTTTGTGTGTCTTAGACTCTTAGTGTGTTGTTGGTTTGCAGTGCCGTAATACCAACATCTAGATGTATGTACCGGTATGCGTACGAAGTAGTTGTTCTGTATCTTAGTGGCTCAGATCGCCATTATCGGATGAGCTGATAGATACCGGTAGATAGCTGTATGAGCTCAAATTTGAGTTATCTATTAAGTCGGCTCGCTCGGTCGATGTGCAAGTGGCCGTTCCCCGGCTTTCAAAGGGGAGGGTCGAGTACCTGAGCTAGCGCCCGGAAGGTATTTCTTAGTAGCTAATACACGCGACCAAAGAGCTGACCAAGGTTAAGGCTTCTCGAACCCGAAATTCCCATTTGACTGACTCAAAGGATGCAATGTATGAAGCGCGTTGTATAATATGGTAAGTGGTACATGGTGGATGGTGCGTTGTTACCAGACTGCATTGCATGACTGACCGACCAACAATTCTAGTCAAAAATGGTGATGGTCAATGAATCCTTTGAGAAATAATATGGATATGGATGGATATGGAAAGTCTACAACCTTGTGCACGTGGTTGGGAAGAGTGGCGGGGTTCACGCGATGAGACTGGGACTGGATCACTCTCGAGATCACTCTAACATAATAGTCAACCTGAATTCTGAGGGGCTTAGTGTTTTTCCCACTTATCAGTAGACATGAGCCACTTGATAAGCCATTTCTATCACGTGATTACCACTAGCCTTTTGCGGCTCAACATGATATGTCATCCTAAGGCAAATATGGTTATTCGCCAGGGCTCTTTAAGCTTCTTGGTCTTTCAAGATCTTTATTCTATCAAACACCTACCATCGTTTTTTGAACTAATCACAACCACCGAACAAACATTACAACATTCGAACCACCACCAAAAGCAATTCCCCATTTGTTGCGACTTTTGACAAGATTGTCATAGGTGAACAGATTACCACAGTTCACCGTCACCCTTATTTCAGTCAAGAGCTACCGCAGCTCAAGTACTTGAAAGCCTGGCTTTTGATAAACAAAGAGATCAACGAAGTTTTAAAATGTCGGTCGAAGTCGTCTTGGATTCGCCTCTGGCTCATGCGCTCAATGCTTCCATTCAACCAAAGCTTGTAGAAGTAGGATGGAGTACAGGTGGCGCTGATGACTCTGCGCTTTCGGAATATATTATCCTGATGCTGGTGAATGGAAAGACGCAGGAACAAATCGCCGCGGAATTATCAGGCGACCTTCTAAACCTTGGTGATGATGATCCGGGAGCAAGAGATTTTTCACAGTGGTTATTCAACCAGGTTGGATTGTTGAATTCACAAATTAGCGGTGGAGGATTTCCAGAGACTGGTGCAGAGACCGAGCAGGGTCAATTTGGAGATTCAAATGTGTCGCAAGATGCGGATATGAACGATGCTTCCGAGGCAGGCGATATAAATGTGTATGCAATCAGTCCCTTAATTATCTTCAGAATCAGGTACATTCTTTCTCGAGAACAAAAACTAACATATTACAGACCAACAGGCCCCAAGTCAATGCGAAATGGAAGTGGTGGTATTAGTCGTCCGCGGGATAAACGTATGCTGAATCATTTGACAAAAGCAATGGATCGCACGCATGATGCCGCTCTCCATCGAGTACGACCACAATCGGGGAATGAACGAATAAATACACATGCGCGAGGACCCCCAACAGGACCAAGGGGACCCGTGAATATCCGAGGTGCTGCTCGTACGCAAAACGGGCGTGGGCATGGCGGCATGGGGGGTATGCCGACGCAACATGGTGCAGCGCAAAATATTATGGGCATGTCTCCACAACAACAACTCGAACTATATGCTATGCTTGAGCAGCAATCGAGATTGATGGCGCAAATGTTCACTCCACAACAGCAACAAATGATGCAACGAGGGGGCAACGGCATGGGCTCAGGATTCCCGGGACAAGGCAGACCTTTACATGAGCGAATGCAACGTCCCAGTCGATCCCAGAACAACAACTTCCAGAAGCGCCACGAGCAGCAACCACAATCTCAAAATGACAACTCGATGGATGTTGAGATGAATTCTAGTGACAAGGTTGATAGTCTCTCTCCAGACACTACATGCAGGTTCAACTTGTCTTGCACGAATAAAGACTGCAAATTCGCACATCAATCTCCTGCAGCTCCTCCAGGAACGGCTATTGACGTCGCAGATGTTTGTACCTTTGGTGCAGCATGCAAAAATCGAAAATGCGTTGGGCGGCACCCATCCCCAGCCCAGAAGATTGCACATCAAACTACTCAAGACTGCATATATTTCCCAAATTGTAAGAATACCAACTGCCCCTTTCGACATCCAACAATGCCATTATGTCGAAATGGCGCCGATTGTACGACACCCGACTGCAAGTTCACACACGTCAAAACTATGTGCAAATTCAATCCTTGCTTAAATCCGACATGTGCATTCAAGCATGAAGAGGGCCAGAAGAGAGGAAAATTTGATGATAAAGTATGGGTGGCAGATGGTTCAAAGGAGCATGTCAGTGAGCGGAAGTTTGTGGACGAGGAAGGAAATGAGGAGCTGATTCTACCTGGGGGAGCAGCATCAGCTGGCACGGGAGCAGGAGGAAGTGGTGATGCAGAGATTGCCGAATAGATGGATTGAATGCTTACATGAGCTACGGAGAGAATGTTTAGTTTAAGAAAAATGTACAACATGCATAGGGATGCGTGGGAAGGAGATTATAATCTGGCGTTTTATGGACAAGAGGATCGTGACTGGATTCTCGGGATATATCTTGGTTGGGCTCTCATAATGAATAGCTGGTCACAGCCAAAGCATATTTAGGTAGAATGGACTGTTGTATCCTCGGCACCCCAAAGCAAAAGAACTTTGGGGCTTAGCCAAACAGAAAAACTCTCACATCTCTTCTCTTGCTTTTGATATGAATCTATAAATATATAACCCTACACTCATCATTGAGCTTTTCTAAAGCTTAACACAACTGACTCGTATCCTACAAAAACAAAAGAAAAGCAGTCTGAGTAGGTAGATGAGCTTATTGATTCGTCATTCAGAATAAAAAGCATTCAATAGATTCAATACTATGAGGAGAACACCTAGTTATATCATGAAATATTTAGTATACAACTTATTAATATGTACTAGAACTTCCACCTATGTTTTCTGCCGTGTACCTAAATTGATACCGAAGCATAGCGCTTTGTGGGGGGAGGGGTAAGTAAATTATACCTAAGCTTTTAAGGTACAGCACCATAGTGAGCAAAACAACTCCGCGACGGGTCATCCAAATATCACTGGTAATTTCATGCTGTTACTACACAGCATTGACAAATAATTATAACGAGGATGCGTCTGCCCGAGTCTCCTTTATTGACTCCTCTGAGGCGATGCTATAATGTTCCTCAATGTCAAATCGTACGTCTACGTCGGCGAAACATTCTGGGGGCTTGTACTAGAGCATATAGCTACCAAGCACGCCCACAATTACACATTCGCGAACGATCAAAGTCTCTGTTGAGATACTATAGCAGCCATGTTCCATCCGATACTCAAACCAGGAAGTCTGCGGAAGTTATATCAGAGGATAATAGCTCAGAAGAATGGAAGGAACCTAGTGTCGCGGTTCTTGGCGGTGGAATTACGGGTCTGGCAACAGCATACTATCTCACCCAAATGGCACCACATCTGAAGGTTACATTGTATGAGAGTAGTGAGAGACTGGGAGGGTGGCTACGGACAAAATATATTGACGTGGGAGATGGTGAAGTTGTGTTTGAACAAGGGCCGAGGACTTTAAGACCGAACACGCCTGCGGGATTTGTTGCTCTAAACTTGGTAGGATCTGCTTTTCAGCTATTTTCTTTGAAGTATTCTAATTCGTGATTCTAGATCAGGGACCTTGGTCTGTCTGACCAGGTGATTAAAACCAACAAAATGTCTGCCGCCGCCTTGAATCGCTTCATCTATTATCCCGATCGGCTTGTGTGCATGCCCGAGCCTAGCCAAGGGGTTTACGCCATTGCCTGGAAAATGTTGACAGAACCAGTTTTCAAAGGAATGTACAGGTTACTTTTCGAATATAAGAGGCCACGAAGACCAACAGGATTGGATGATGAATCAGTAGGATCATTTCTGGCCAGGCGAACAGGAGGGACAGACATTCCAGACAATCTAGTGTCAGCTGTATTTCATGGTATCTATGCTGGGGATATCTACAAACTGAGTGCAAAAAGTATAATACCCACCCAGTGGGGAATGGAGGGGGCATTTGGAAGCATCAGTGCAGGAATGTCTCAAATGGCAAAATTCAAGAATGCGACAGCTGAAGATCCAGACTTAGAGGAAAAGGAGAAGAGTGCATTCACGGACAATGAGAGGGCAATTGTCAACGAAACAAGTGTCTATACTTTCCGCAGAGGGATTGGTACACTATCTGAAGCACTGGACTCCTCTCTAAGGAATAATCCTAATGTGAAAATCAAGCTGGGCGAGGACGTGAGGAAAATCGAGTACGATGGACGAAGTGAAGGCATCATGGTATGGACCTATTCCTTTCACATCTCTGACTAATGACTAAAGTACCTAGATCTACACAACTCAGGCTGGCGAATCATCCACCAACCATTCTTACGTTATTTCTACCTTGTCAGGCCGCACTCTCTCTACACTAACTACCTCTTCAGATGATTCTTTAATCCCTTCACTTGCAAAAACAGAGGCTGTGACGGTCATGGTTGTTAATCTCTACTACCGGGAAGAAGATCTCATTCCGGAGCGCGGCTTCGGATACCTAATCCCACGATCCATTCCTTTTGAGCAGAATCCAGAATTTGCTCTTGGTGTAATATTTGATTCAGACGCAACAGTTGGTCAAGATACTGTTCCAGGGACCAAATTCACCGTCATGCTAGGTGGCCATTGGTGGAACGACTTCGAAACATATCCTAGTGAGGAAGAGGGTGCTGCTATGGCAAAAGCCGTTCTCAAACGACATCTGAAGATCAACCAAGAACCAGAGATGGTACATGCATCTTTGCAGAAAGATTGTATTCCTCAATATACTGTGGGTCATGAACAGAGACTGAAACAAGCGCATTATGAGTTGTTAAGCGCATACAAGGGAAAACTGGCAGTGGCTGGAAATTCATACACTGGCGTGGGCGTAAATGATTGCATCAAGGCTGCCAAAGTCGTGGCAGGCGATGTTGCACGTGGGAATGATGTTACGGGACTGGAGAAGTTCACTGAACAAAAATGGTGGGAGAAAATGATCAAGCGAGAACAATAAATAAACTCCAATCAATCTTTGAAACTACACTATGAAGCAAGTTGAGAAGTTCCTCACGCAGCTTGTAGTTTACTAAATGTATAATAGAATATATGAACATACAATAAATAGCAAACCCGTGAACATTTATCTTTGTGTCAACAATTGTTGATTTCAATCCAAAATTGCTGCATTATATATTCCAGTCACCACGTCCATGTTCCCTGATAAATGCCGACCCCACTTGTGCTTTTCAAACGTTCGATCATTGTGAGAGAAATCACCTGTTGTTTTTGGTTAGAATGTTTTTAGTGCCACTGGGACGTGATGCAAGAAAAAGGTTACCTTGTTGAAGCCTGGACCATGAGCATTCGGCGGCCACTTTCATCATAACATGGTGAATGAAGAGCACCATCCTTTTCAGAGTCATGAGCATTCGAAATATGTATATTATTCGTGATATTCACTGTATTGTCACAGCTGACCATTAGGTCGGATTCAACTGAAAGTTCTGCGAATTGATGTGGAAAAAGTTTTCGCGTCCTACTTTTGTACAAGCGAACCCCTTTTCTTACCGACCATCTTCCTCGACAATTTCTGAAGAGGTAAAAATTCAATACATCTATTAATTCACCTTATCCATGTTATTAAAATACTCTTACTTCCTTCATTTAATTTTCTAACATTTTTTCATATCACAAAGTTACATATTGACATTCTTTTGACTTATTTTCGCAAGTGTTTTTGAAGGATTCTTTGACGCAATCACTCGATGCTTTTTTTTCGGCGACGGAAGAGAACACGGGGTTCTTTTTCTTATACGAACATGCGATTACGTGGATAGATAAGCACTAGCCTGTTAATGGCGCGTCGGAACTGCAAATTACAAGATAATGGTTTGTGATGTGGATATGTAAGTGGATTTAGCCAGTAGGAGATCGCGCTTGAGAATGGAAGATACGAGATACTGTTGCAGCTAGACATGAGAGTGGGGTGGGAAGATTGAGATTATGTATATAATCTGCTCTGTTTCCGTCTTCTCTGATTTTACTTTGCTGTAAGTTTATCATTCGGACTTTTTTTGGTATCATCGTGCTAAGTGCCTCGGATCACAATTCTTACGTCATATAACACAATATCGGCTACGGCGGGTTGCATCAATAATCAATTTACATTCACTGTCGGAAATACGTGCAAAATGACAACGGAAAATGATGCAGAGTTCGTCAAAAGATGGCCTACCCTTGGCAAAGCAATGGAGTCCGGCGTTGAAGTATTTTCCTCCACTGTTTCCCCTTATTCCACTCTCACTCTCAGTATCTTTTTACACACATGAATTCTCACTAAGAACCGTCAGTCCCATGATGGCCGTGAAGCTCAACTTCTCGCTTACATCTTATCTCACAATCCCACCAATCCTTTAGACGTTCTCTCCACCATCGACGAATTTTCCCTGCGCGAAGATTTCCTCATCAGTGTTGGTCCCAATAAAGCTGACATTTTGCGAGATCTCGTTATGCGGGAGAAACCGAAGATGCTGGTGGAATTAGGTGGATATTTGGGGTATAGTGCTGTGCTTTTTGCGGATGCTATGGTGAAGGTGCATGGAGGTTTGTTCAGCTTCTTCATGAATTTGTGATTCATGCCCGTTTTTAAAACGGCTAGATTGATCATAATATGACAGGTGATGCGGGGCTCAAGATTTATTCCCTCGAACTCGATCCAGCCTTCGCAGCTATTGCTCGCCAAATCGCTCAAATAGCAGGACTCGATCACGTTATCGAAATTGTTGAAGGCACAGCCGCTTCCTCGATTTCCAGTCTAGTTAAAGAGAAGAAAATCACGAATGTCGATTTCTTGTTCCTAGATCATGAAGAGGATTTGTATGAGCAGGATTTTAAAGTTGTCGAAGCATCGGGTGTGCTGAAAAGGGGAGCTATGGTCGTAGCGGATAATGTGGCCAGGCCGGGGGCACCGGAGTATAGAGAGTTTATTAGAGGAGACATGAAGAAAGATCAGGGGTGGGAAAGTTGGGGAGTAAGAGGCTTAATTTGGCCTGGGGATTTCGAGGTAAGTGTGATCCTTTGAAGATGTGGCCGAAACAGGGTTTGTTGAGGAAATATGGCTGGGGTAGTACTGATGTTGAATAGGATGAACTTGAAGTTAGTAAACTAGTTGGTTCGGAATCGGATAAGCAGTGAGAAACATCATTTTAATATGAAAATTTTGGCGTGGGAAGGTTGTTACTTTGGAATTTTAACATTCATCTGGGAAGGAACAGCGTTATATTCACTCGCATTGGAAGAATGCAAGCTCATCTATCAATTAAGTCCAAGCAACCAAACTGATTCAAATTCAACATCTTTGAATTCTTGCAAATGCCATAATCGCGCTACCGGTTATAAACCAAGCAAGACTTTTGTTTTGGGTATAATTCTTGTCTTCGTCTTTCTTGTCAATTGGAAATTTTGAATCGTGTCTGATCTCAATATCATTTTGCAAAAATGAAGAGTCTTGGAGAGAACCTCAAGTTTTAGGCACGACAAGCTTTTCGAAATTGTAGAGTTTTTCGCCACGTAAAGGTGAAATATAAGGAGTTGTTACATTGTACGCAGTGAGACAAAGATAAATACAACAACTAGCAGAAAAAATCATGTATATTCCCACGAAAACAATTCCCAGCACGCCGTTCCAGATATACGGTTGACTAATTAGATATATGCCGGCAGTGGGTTTTCAGATGAAACATACTACTACTACACAAAGCCAGCGGAGTTGCTGGCGATGTATCGACCGCTCCAATCAAAGAGGAAAAGACAGTCGCACACTCCCTGCCACCAAATTTGGCTTTGTCGAGTAATTATAGGACCGGGATAGGAAGACAGAAATCATAGAGCCTAACTACTCTTCTAACAATGTGGGAAACTCTTTCTCTCTCTCGAGTCTCTCTTCTCTTGCGGCCAGAACACGTCTTCTTCTTGAATTCCTCATTTGTGCCATCTCGTGGTGAAGCTCTCTAGGCCTCTCATGATGGTAATTACGAAACTCCCACTATTTTCAATAGATTAGCTGCTGTCACTGATGCCTCAGATCTTCAAACTTAAGACTTACCGACTCACTTTGAGCCAAATGCGCAGCCTCACTCTCCCAGTAAAGCTCTTTGAATCCCTCAACATCGGCCGGAGTACCCTCCATTTGGACAATAGGATGTTTAGATACTTCTGCAGCATCCACAAGATCCACGTTATCCCATAAGTCTACAGCCTCTGGAACAATATCTGCAACTTTGTGGAGTTCCCACGACTGTGTATGCCTACAAAGAGGACACCTGAAGTCAGGATTTCCAGGATTATCCCACTAAAGAAGCGCAAGGTTAATGTCTATCCATTCTACTTAGAGATGATGAAATTACTGAGGGTACTTACGTAGTCGCGACCACAATCGTAATGCACCATATGATTACAGAAGAATTGCACCCACAACTCCCTGGGTGCGTAGTCTTCGAGGCAATATACGCAATTACCAAAGTAGGGACCAGCGTACTTGCAGGGGTCATGACTTGGAAGTGGGTGTATGGGGAAAACATTGCCAAATAGATTTGCTTCAGATTCTGGATCTGCTTCTATACTTGCTCTGTAGTCTAACGCATCTTGCTCCTTTTCAGGTGTCTCGGGTAACATCTTAAGTAGCTCCATAGTGTTGTAAAAGTCGTCAATAAGTCCACGCCAGGTATCGGTTGTAACGGTATCGAACACGAAATACAGTTGTTTCCTATAGATGTTAGTAATTGACTTGAGAGATGAGCTGAAATGCTATTGTGTAACTTACCAAGGCCGCTTCTTAGACCAGTCTCTTAAAAGTAGGTAATTGCGCCGATGAGTATTGACTTGCGAGACTTTCTTCGTTAATGCTCTAACCTCCCTTGCTTGTGCAACATCGGGAATACGATCTTTGATGAAATCGGGATCGTAGTTGGCTTGGGAAATAAGTTTTGTAATCTCCCAGTGTTCATCTTCTGCAATAACACGATTGTCGTATAAATGATCTTCGACATAGTACCTATTATTCTTAGCTTCGAAGTCGGCAGCACGATCAAGTAATTGTGACCAGAGAAGCATAGGTCCAAATGGATTGATAGTTCTCCCTAGTGGATCAGGCTTTGTAGGGTGGGTGATCTATTCAATTTCTGTCAGTCTCATTCATCTTCGATTGATAATTGTCACGATACATACCTGAGCCCATGCCGCACTTACACGATCGGAATCTATGTTGAAATCCGATATGATATAAGGTTCTTGGGAGCCTGGTCTGGGAATAGAGTCTCTGCTAAATTCATTTGCCAATGCTTGCAAAAACGTGGTCAGAGTCTGCAATGTAGTTACAAACTCTAAGAGCGATTCATAAATCTTTCTACTCTCGACAGGAACAGAACGTGTCTCCTGCTCTAGTTGTGCTCTACCAATAATGAGGATGTTTTTTAGTGAATCTATTCCACGAGTCTTCCCTCCCAAACTTAACGATCGATAATGAAGTAATTTTATCCATGCCCTATGCAGTACCCATGCTGCCTTTATCGCCGGATCCGCTATGTTTGAGCCATCGGGTAATGCTGGTCGCCCTCCCAAGTGAGCATTTCGCTCATCGACGAATCTTAGAATTGTCATCAAATAGCCGTTGAGGCGAAACATTGCATTAAGATGCTTCCAAGGTGACGGCGCATTTCTGTCACTCGCAAGAGCATGCACCATATTATGGAATCGTTGAAGCTGCAACGAAGCATCGTCCCGTCCTGTTACCCACGGAGGCCAATCCGCATTATGGCCTTCGAACTCATCGCTGTAAAGCCATGCACTCCCATAAGCCGTTAGATCTTTGACAAAGCTGTCTATGTACTCGTCACCAACATTTGCAGCGGCTAGCATTCCCAAAAGCCCTAGAGTATCCTTTGCACCACCCTCTTTGCGAAGCAAACCTTTGTCGGTAAACAAGTCGGCTGCTTTGTTGCTCGATTCTATGTAACTTTGTATCTGCCTTCGATGCGGAGTACCTTCGGAAAGCAGTAAAAGTCTATCCAACTTTGCTTCTTTTGCGAAATAATTTTCTCCGAACTCATAAACATCAAAGCCGCCTGCATCGACAGTTTCTTCCGAAACAAATTTAAGTCTCATTTTCCTTAAACTCAGCCATTTACGCCATTCTTCCTGAGCATGGGCCACGCGTTCCACATGGCTCAGCCTTTGTCCATGTGGAGGAGGAGGCATCTTAATGACTGGCAGTAGAGAGAATTTAGAGAGGTGAATTGAGAACTATTGAGGTTTCGGAAGAGGTTTGGAAACAACATTGTGTTCACCATGTTGATATCGACAGAGATATGATCTTGATGCCCTTTGTCCACCCTCGAATTGTCTACCCTTGATCGGTAAAATCATGAAAGGATATGCCCCCCGGATGCGGGAAACTTACGTCCAAAGAGGAGAAAATTGGTAGACTCTCTTTTCTTATGGCAAAGCCGCATTGTTCTTGGAAATTGACTCTATTGAAGTTAAAGCTTTCGCTTATGATTTCACGGGAAACAAACAACAAAGGAAATAAAGGGGGGAATAAAGGAAGTTTCTTCTTGAACCAGACCGGATTCGATGCGAAAAGGATGAACCGGTGTCTAAATCACGTGGTAGTATCACAATCCCGATTTTCGTCATCTTGTCAAATAGAATCTTTCCACGAAATCTTGAGATTGAACTTAGTATATAAGTTAGTAGGAATATGTATATTTGGAAGGAGAACTGCCTCTGTTATTGTAACTAGTGCATCTTTTTTCTATGGCAAACCCGTGACATCGAATTCGCAATTAACATTACAATTTCCCGTTATCACCGACGATATCCCGTCTCACATTCCTCGACCACTTTGAAAGTTTGGATATATATATACTTTAACAGATATACTCATACCTTCCTAAGTATTGTTCTTATCACTGTTTCTCCCTATTATTTTTACCCTTTATAAGCTCCAGAAGAGTTCAAACTAAAGTCACTCAACATGGCTACACAGAATGTTTGCAACACTATTCCACCAGTGACAAAAGTTGACTATCAAACGAAAGGTACATGGGAAACAATTGCTGGAGTACCTGTGTACATTTCAGGTGGGTCAATTTCTTTTCTAGCTGTTTGCTCATTATTTTGCTCGTTTGTGTTTTGCTTGGTTTCTGTCTTCAATTGCAATCACTCCAAAATAGCCTCTCACTCATTTCACCTCTTCATCTTCAAAATCTGCAAATCCCAACCAAGTGTTTTAGGAGCATCTAAACCCACAAACGTCCTGGTGGTCATCTACGATATATTTGGTGCTGCACCCCAAACGCTACAGGGCGCCGATTTATTAGCCGCGGCTCTTGAACCATTGAACACCGTTGTTGTTGTCCCGGATCTCTTTAATGGGAAAAAAGCTCATGCGGAGTGGTTCAAGAATCCAAGCGAAGAGGCCAAAGCCGCCAAAGCCGCGTTTGTGGAGTCCGCATATGCGATTGACAGATGGGAAAAGCTTGTTGGGGAAGTTGTCGCCGATTGTGCAAAGAAATGGGGCGGCGTAAAGGCTTGGGCATGCCTGGGGTTGTGCTGGGGTGGTAAAGTAGGGGTTTTTTCGTTCAACAATCCGATATATTATCATAATTTTAAGGGTCTGAGTAGGTTGCCGCAGCCACTTCACGAAAAGAGACTCCATGGACAGTTTCCGGTCAAGTTCATCCAGGGTAAGCATTTTTCTCGATTTCTTTAGAATACTGGGACACTATTGACCGGATGTCTATTAGTCGATTGACGAAGGAGGATGCCGGGAGAATTACAATTCCACATATCGTGCTTGCCTCAAATGGCGAGGATGCTAAAGCCGTGCAAGAATACAAAGATGTTCTTGAAGCAGGGAACGGAGTCGTCGAGACTTATTCAACCATGCATCATGGATGGATGGGAGCCAGGGCTAACTGTAAGTGTTTCTAATTCTTGACCTGTGACTAAAGTTAGAGCTACTGATTAACATGCACGATAGTTGAAAATGAAGACAATGTCAAGGAATATGTTAGAGGGTGCGTACTTCTTACTATTTCCCAATTCCCTTGAAAGATCTCTACTGATGAGGTCTTGTGAACGACAGGTATCAACAGTGCGCGGCATTCTTCTCGGAGCACTTGAGCAAGTAGATTCGTTCATCGGAATTGCCCACGAATTTACGGTTGCAGTGAATCATTGAAGCTGTCCAAAATGAAGATAAGCATCGCAGACATATTTCTCGTATAGAACACAGCCGATACAATTGTTCATTCCTAAGTAGGACTCTCAGAGCTTGTGATCCTGAATTGGTTATCAACTGGTACCCTTGTTTCCAAGCTTTTTTCGTATGCTTCAATATTCATGAACTCTTTACGAATGCTTTTACCGTAGAAGTAAATAGCTTTGGATTTACAGTACCACCTGTGTTGAAGAGTCAATAGTCATACATTTGCTTTACTATGCATTGATCATACATGCTTCTTTCTGTCTTCATCCCGCCTTGTCATTTACTTCATCCTTGGTATAAATTTCCTCTAGTCTGACATTTTCACCGCAGCACCGCCGTCTCAAGCCCTTCGAAACCCTATTCATGCTTGAAATTCCAATGAGTAGAGTGTTGGTAAGAATTAAGAAACATACCTTTATATGAAGATTGAATGTTCTTGGATTTATTTCGTGAGTGGCACTTGGGCACAGCTTAAACACCTTCTTCTTCTGGGACCCAAGAAATCTTGGAGGTCTGCCCGTTTCCGGTAACTATCCCATGTACTGTAACATTTCGTGTGTAATGCACTCAATATCCAATGAGAAAGCATTGGCACAAGGCCGCTAAAGTACCTCGATGTATTGTCCCGCTGGTCTCAAGCTGGGCCAACATATAAAAGTGGGGTGTAAGCACTAGATATTAGTGTAGCCGTACAAGAATTAGATGTGCAACAAAACCATTGGAGACTCGGGCTTGAATTTTTCACGGGAGGTAGCAGTGCAGATGCTCAATAGTTACTATCGGACTATCTGGTGCACTTGCTACAACCATTAGATATGACTGCTGGGGACTCGAGTGATTTTAGGATTGTTACACCAAACGTGTCCAGCCAATGCATCTGTTTCACATACTTGTGTTGAGATTTGTATTGAGTGGCACAGCATAACACTGGGGGTGAGGAGGTTTCCACAAAAGTCAATTATGGCCCAAAGCTCTCAATAAAGAAAGACTCCACGAGAGTTACTAATTCTTTATCAACATCGGGAGACCCGGCGCTCAAGATAATAATGAAGCGACAGGCTCCGATTCAGACAAAGATGCAGCATGGTGTCGGTAGGAAATCAAATTGTAAGATGAAATCGACAACTTGTCATATATGTTGTCTTTTTCACTAACCCACTCGAGGACAGGTCGAATACTTGCTACCTCTGATATCTAGTTTTGAGTCTTGGTTATATGACCTTGGAACATGGAATCCGGAACGCATATACGCACTTATTGTTACAATCCAGGCCATTCTGGAAACACACATTGGGAGACTAGACCTTGAAGCTATGTTGGAGTGTATATTCTCTTCTATGACGAGACACGCTAAATATATGTTATTACATCACTTGAAGAAGAGCTTCTTATTACACGGCGAAGGAAATCAGAAGTGTATCCTATGTATAGAATCACCAGACAACCATTCACTCTTCTATTTCGACTCATGTTCTAGCCACTTCACGTCACATCTTTACTACTTCTCAACTGACCATCCGCATAAGCCCTCTCGCTTATTTCCACCCCTCGCTTCCTCTCCTCTAAACCTCCAACTCCCATCCTACGGGACAAAAAGGTGCAATTCCGCATCCCATTCCCCGTTTCTCTTCTCATATCCTCACTTGTTCCCATGCGTCACTGCAAGAGGAAGAAGTTTGCCTGGAATTCTCGCTCAGATTCATGCAAAATACTTCTCACTCAAAACTCCCTGACATTCGACCAGACTTGCCAAACCGAATCCACTTGATAAATTATCTGCCCATTTCCATCATCTCCTGTCCCAACATCCTCCCCTGGTCTATTGAATCAATTCAAGACAAGTTACAATATGCCCAACGCACAAGCCTCCCTCAGATAAGTCTGAGATCATAGTATCCTACATACCAACTTGATTTATTCCAGAACTACAGTTTAAAATCTCACGTTCTCTCACTTTGTTCCAAAGTAGAATCAAATATGTACGGAACCATGTATCATGCATCTTTATCATTATCATTAATCTTAGAATTCTTGCCCATCATTCATCATTAGCTTCTTTCCTTGTATGTGTATTCGCATAACCACTTTTTCCTTCGAGGAAACTTGCCCTCCAAGCTCCATTTCTTTGCACTTTGAAATGGCAAATCCCATAAATTTTCCATATCACATTAAACTCCGTTTCCTATTTCCAATCCAGCCTGCCTGTCCCATGTCACACATCGAATTTCCTTAAACACACAATCCCCCAACGGCAGCCGCCACTATCCCCAAGATTGTAGGCAAAGCTTCATGGTCATTTCCGGCTTTATTTGTGCTCCTAACTTTTCCGCCAATAGCACCGGCAGCATTTGTACCAAGGCCTCCTTGGTCAGCTCCAGTCGTACATGCCGCCATTCCAGTCACCAGAAATCCTTGCTGGTCGTAGCTTTTTGCTGTACTGCATCCTCCAAAAATTGTGCTTGTTACAGCAAATCCTTTAGAATCCCAGCCCGTGATCGTTTCAAGGCCATCTCCTGATAGCGGCGAAGAAAAAGAAGGTGAAGGGCCCACATAGAAGGAGGGGGTTAATCCTGCTGATGTCTAAACACAAAGTCAGTAAGTGGGAAAGATAAAAAAACATTGGGGATAGGTTGACACGTACTTATTGGTGAAGCACTTACAGGGACAATTTTGCCCTCAGAAGAAATTTCCCAACCTGAAGGAATGCTTGGCCCAGTGCTCCATGTTACCTCCGATACTGTTTGCGTTCCAGCCACCCAAGGATATCCAGTTCGTGTTGCCGAATTACCGTTGTTGATACCAGCGGGGATAGTTGGGGAGCTAGATGTAACAGCAGCAGCGCCAGCAGTTTGAATCGATGAAGCCGATGCTGGCACATTACCGTTTACCGATCCACCGACAGCTTCGATTGATGTCCAGTCTCCAGATTGATCTCCATATTTATATTGAGTACCAGTGGAATAATCACTCACGTCAATTGACTGAACGAGCATAGAGAATGGACCTTTGGAGTAATCGGTTGGACCACGCGCCCAAGAAATTGTCCCTGCGGCATTCGATGAATCTCCTCCTGACCAGGCCCCAAACTTAATTTGCATTGGCGATTGTGGGTATTGATCGGTATCGGCCGTTGCGGGTGTAAGGACTCTCACTACAGTAGAACCTACGGACCAAACGACCTGCTCTGAAGTCCACTCAATAGTGTAGGTGATAAATTCACCTTGGTTGTTCGACGCTGGATTGAAAGCTCCGCGATTGTAGTCTGTAACTTTGCCTTTGCCGAAATAGTTGGTTTGTACTTCAGTATCATCCGCTCCAAGCCATTCCATATCAATCTCATCTAGGTCGTCGGATTGTAAAACCAGTGTGCTAACAATACCCGCGCCAGGGGCTGCCTTCATTGTGATTTGCACCTTTCCGAACATGATATAGAAGATGCTGGAGAGTGTTGGCGCATCGCCTGACTTGGATACTGTGAATGAAGCGCCCTTGGAGTCGTATGAAATATCGCCAGAGCCAGTAAAGGAATTAACTGATCCTGAAGTGAAGTCGACATCGATGGATTTTCCCAGGGCAGTATTTGCAGGACAGCCAGCTAGTGGGAGGTCAGTAAAGTTTTAACAAGATAAGGAAATAAAGCAAGCCACTGACTTGTGAATAATGGGTTACAAGAACTATAAGTCTGAGCAACAGATGATTTAGCAGACAACAATGCCGTTGCAGCGGTGAGAAGAAGTTTGGGAAACATCTTCAAGTAGAAGATAGTAAGACGAAAAGGCAAGTCGCAGAAAGTCAACTGAATGTCGTACAACGGCCGAGATCAGTGATCTTCTTGAAGGCCGAAGTTCGATTGTCGAGAAGAGCTCCAGATACCTGTGTCCAGAATATTTTCAAAGAAAGAAGCGACAAATTTATCGGTGAGTACCCTTAAATGGAAGTGAATATGGAAATCAACCGTTTCATGCACCTACTCGTGTGGATATATGGATATATGAGGCTGCAGGAGATAAGTATGTATGTATATACATTTCCAGCCACCTCATTATCGTTTGTACATTTGGATATACATCAGGGACCAATGGACCTATAAACAAGGATACGATCAGTTCTAGAAGGAAGATGATACACTGTATAGCATAATTTCACATGGACCTTCAAATCAAGCGTCATCATTTGTTGGACAACCTGAATTGAAGAGGAAAAAAGAAATTAATGAAGAGGTTGGTGGGTGGACCAAAGTCGTAATGCAAAGTTGTAACTTGTTGCCGAGTATCTCTTATTAGAGTCTTGGGCAAATTGAGTTGTGGTCGGGTTGTTTCTTTTCCATGTATCCAAACTCAGCCTCACTTACTCATCCACTTCCTAGGTACTCGAGTACACGTGCTGGGTACTTAAGGTTGGTAGATAAAGAAGAAGAGAAGGCTGGCTGGGCTGACTTGGGATTTTGACCCTCGTGGCTTCGAAAGCGTTTGACACAACGGGTTGGAACCTTGGAATTGATCTTTGGTTCTCTCGAGGCCAGTCAATGTTAATAATCAGTGCTTGGCTCTTGGCTGGGCTGTGTAGCGTCGGCGAGTCGGGAGTTATAAAATAAAATAAAATAATTAGAGCAGAGGAGAGGGGAGGGGAGGGAAAGTAGAATTGGGTTCATCAAAACATTTTAAATTACTGTGTCAATCAATCCTCCCCTGCCCAAGATTAACAAAATCAAACAGAGATAAATTCGCAGCTCTGAGCTCGTAAAGGAGTCATCTTCTGATCTGTACAAGCAATCCATTGTCGAATAACGAACGCGAAGATGAGTGCGGAACCCAATAACAACCAGGCAAAGGCCGATGTCCCAGAGGAAGTGGTGGAACCAAAATCAACATCTGTGGAGGAACCAACATCTACAATCGAGCAAGATCCAAAGCCGATAACAACGGAATCATCGCCAGTCAAGATTGCTGATTCAAATCCAATTCCACAAATCACGCCCGAAGAACCAAAACCTACAATCGCAGAGCCATCAACAACTGAATCAGTAGCCGCGGAGCCCACTACGGAACAACCCCAGGAAGCAGCCGTCAAGCTAGAATCTGTCAAAGAAGCCGACGCGGAAGCAGCCGCTAAACTAGAAGCTACCAAAGATGCTGATGTGGAGAAAGCAGCTTCAACCTCTCAACACTCAGTCTCATTTGACAAGACTACCAAGACACATGATGGCTCGCCATTGTCAAAATTCTGTTCAGAATTGCC